CATGTGTAATGAGCTGGGAGGTAAACAGATTTAAAAGTTCATCAGTGAGTAAAACCCTGGTTTTATTATCCACATAAACGTACTGTATATGTATGTTTATGGCAATATGTGAAATGGACCAATTAGGACAAGTTTAAGGTGATGTTCTGTCAAATAGTTATTAGCAGTTAGGAACTTATGAGCTGTAAAATCAGTGAGTTTGGAGAAAAAGGTAAAAGTCTAAGCTAGGCTAATGGCTAGCCAGATGAAAACTGTTGTTACACAAGTGGTTTTCAGGTTTATAAAACATTTTCTCAAAGACGACATTTGGGTGTGAAAAACAAACAAATGCTAATATTTAGCTAATATTGAACCTCTACACTTTCCATTAGAACATCTGCGTTACTAAATGGATTGTATTTGTGCTGGAAGTTGATCATTCATCCTGACGGTGGCGCAGTGGCTGAAGGTATCACTCCACCTGAGCAGCACATCCCTCCATCCTTTCAGCCCTCGGCACCACTCGTTCACACAGTTTGTGTTGGAAACACAGATGTTGTTTGATTAGGAAACAGTAACAAACTAAAAAAAGAAAAACGATGCGATGCAAAGGTGTAAAGATTTAATTTGAGCTAATGTGATTTTACACATAAGTCATCTTTTTTAAAGTGCTTTATAAGCCTGAAAAATAATTTTAAAAAATTGGCACTTGTTTGTCTAGCCATTAACCTAGCTACGATAAGGACTTTACCCCGTTCCTTGACTCCATGCTCTCTGACTGATGTTACGGCCGGTAAGGTGCTAACACAGATTATCTGAGATAGAACATCATGTCAAAGATGACTGGGCTGTCCCTTTAGCAGAGAGCTGCTGCTGCAAATCAAATCTGATCATCTTCGTCTTTGTTAAATTCACTAAAGCAGAAAACTAAGGACAGAAATCAGAAGTAGAAAGTTGCTGGAGAAAATCTGATGGGGACTGCCACGTTGCGGCCATTTACATTTATTTTTTTTTAAACAATACTTTGTGATGGGGTTCGCTCTCAACTACCACCAAACCAAATTTCAGCTCAATATCTCAAAGAATGATGAGTTATAGACAATTTTGTGTTTTCTGAGGTAGCTGTGGCAGCCATCTTGAACCAAAATGGCTCCAAATGTTATTCAGTTCTAGACATATGTCTGATGATTACAGTACTTTGAGAGTTTCAAACAAATCCAACCAGCTGTTCATGAGATATGTTGCTAACAGACAGAAAATCCAAGTTTATATATATGTTTTTTTATTTACCCTTTATTTAAACAGGTAGTCTCATTGAGTCACAAGGACTCATTTTCAAGAGAGACCTGTTTTTGGGAGCAGATGGTGGGGGTTAAGGGCCTTGCTCAGGGGCCCAGAGTGGGGCAAATGAGGGTGGAGGCAGGTGTGGGCGTTTCACCTTAACCACCCACATTTTGATGTTGACGGTACCGGGAGTTGGACCTGCGACTTTCCGATCACAGGCCCATCTTCTCTAACCTCTGCGCCACCACTCCCCACATATGGTATTTCTAAATGTGTGTTTCTGAAGTCAGGTCAGATGTAAGATGGGAAAGTGTGTCATTTGTCATAACAACAGTGAACATAAATCACCTGAGTCATGTGGCTTCCATTTTACAGAAGCTCCGCCCTCCTTTGTCAGCCTGACTCCGCCCAGCAGGCCAGTTACCACACAGGAGAAAAGAGGATGATGTGGAGAAATCTTGCTTCAAACAAACAGCTGCTGTGTAAAAACTATAAGGTCTATTGAAAAAAAATCTTGAACCGTGATTGAGATGAGCTTGGTTCACACTCGTGTGACTTTTCACATTTTTACAGCACTATATCTCAGAGATATGACAAGTTAAAAAACACTCCTCACACCGTGAGCTGAATAATGCAGTTGACCAAATTATAATGGAGAAATATACAAGTGAAATGGTCACACTTCTGAGGCACCTCATGAAAAACCATACCTCCTACAGCCAAACCACACATACTTGTGGAAAGATGACAAAACATATGTTTTGATATATAATAAGTTTGTGTATCTTAAAAGATGTGGTGGTAGGAAGAGTTTGATGACAAACTGAATTTTCTTCAGAGACTTCTTCACTCTAGGTCATGTGACCTCACTGTGGCAGTTAGAAGCTAGTTCTGCCTGTGTTTTTCAGTGAGAAATATGGCATCTTGTTTGCAAATTATGTTGCCATGGTAACTCAAAATGCCACTAAAAGTAACAGCACACATCACGGTGCCGAGCCGGTCATTTTTATACAACATTTGTAAGGGGACACATTGTGGTTTGAGATGCAGTAAAGTTGAAGGAAAATGGAGTCTGAAAAAGCTATTGTTTTCAGGTGGACATTTCCAATTTTAGATATTTTTTCCATGTACTGTTTTTTGGCATCTGGGAGAAGTTTGTCATGATATAGTTCACTTTGTTTTGAGCTGCTTTTCAACATTATGCAGGAGGATACAGCAGTAACACCACAGACAAACACCGGAATAGTTTGTTTTGGTCTGTGGCCTTGAAAGATGGCTCCGACAGACTGCGCAAGATGTAAACAGTCACTACGCAGCGACGTTGGTTCCAAAGCTCTATAGGTGGCTGCCTTCAGGCAGTCAACCAAAAAATTTTGCAAAGGTGAAAATAGGTGCTTCTCTTTGAATTGCCACCTTATTGTGGTGGAGGAGTTTGTGCGCCTGAATGATCCTAGGAACTATGCTGTTGGGGGCAATTGCCCCATGTAGGGTCTCCCAAAGAAGATTTGTCCTAGACGACAGGCCAGACAAGTTTGATGAGAGGGATTCATAAGATTTAAATGGACAAAACAAAGAACTCAGTGTCCCTTGCCCGGACGTGGGTTACCGGGGCCCCACCCTGGAGCCAGGCCTGGTGACCGGGTCCCTACAAATGGGGCCCGGTCGGGCTCAGCCCGAAGGAGCAGCATGGGTTTACCTTCCTGTGGACCCACCACCTGCAGGAAGGGCTATAAAAGTCAGGTGCATGATGCTATGGGCAGTGGCCAAAGGTGTGGACCTTGGCGCTCTGACCCTGGCTTACCAAAGCTGGCTCTTGGGACATGGAATGTAACCTCTCTGGCAGGGAAGGAGGCTGAGCTTGTGCGCGAGATTGAGAGGCACCGACTAGATATAAAGTTGTAAGGTAAGGTCTATTCAGGGGTACTGGAGAAGCGAGTCCGATCGTTGGTCAAACCTCAGATCCAGGAGGAACAATGTGGGTTCTGTCCTGGCCGTGGAACACTGGATCAGCTATTTACCCTCACTAGGGTCCTTGAGGGTTCATGGGAGTTTGCCCATCCAGTCTACATGCATTTTGTGGACTTGGAGAAGGCATTCGACCGTGTTCCTCAGGGTACACTGTGGGGGGTGTTCCATGAGTATGGGATTGGAAGCCCGTTTTTACGGGCTGTTCAGTCCCTGGACAAGTGGTGAAAGAGCTTGGTTCGCATTGCCGGCAGTAAGTCGAACCTCTTCAAGGTGGGAGTTGGACTCTACTAGAGCTGCCCGTTGTCACAGATTCTGTTCATAACTTTTATGGACAGAATTTCTCGGTGCAGCCAGCTGGCGAAGGGTTTCCGGTTCTGTGGCCTCAGGATTCCATGTCTGCTCTTTGCACATGATGCAATCCTGTTGGTGTCATTGTGCCGTGATCTTAAGCTCTCACTTGAGTGGTTCGCAACTGAGTGTGAAGCGGCTGGGATGAGAACAATCACCTCCAAATCTGAGGCCATGGTCCTCAACTGGAAAAGGGTGGATTGCTCTCTTCGGGTCGAGGGTGAGGTTCTGCCTTAAGTGGAGGAGATCAAGTATCTCGGGGTTTTGTTCACGAGTGAGGGAAGAATGGAGCATGAGATTGACAGACAGATTGGTACAGCATCTTCAGTATTGCGTACTCTGTACCGGTCCGTTGTGGTGAAGAGAGAGCTGAGCTGTAAGGCAAAGCTCTCTGTTTACCGGTCGGTCTATGTTCCTACCCTCACCTATGGTCATGAGCTCTGGGTAGTGACCGAAAGAATGAGATTGCGGATACAGGCGGTTGAAATGAGTTTTCTCCGCAGGGTAGCTGGACTCTCCCTTAGAGATAGGGTGAGAAGTTCAGTTATTCGGGCGAGACTCGGTGTAGAACCGCTACTCCTTCATGTCGAGAGGAGCCAGTTAAGGTGGTTCGGGCATCTGGTAAAGATGCCCCCTGGGCACCTCCCTAGAGAGGTGCTTCGGGCATGTCCAACTGGGAGGAGACCCCGGGGAAGACCCAGGACATGCTGGAGAGACAATGTCTCTCGGTTGGCCTGGAAACACCTTGGAATCCTCCCAGAAGAGCTGGAAGAGATGGCTGTGGAAAGAGATGTCTGGGCCTCCCTGCTCAAGCTGCTCCCCCCCACGATCCGACTTCGGAATAAGCGGAAGATAATGGATGGATGGATGGAAATTAGGTGAACTAATATCCTGATGCATGCTCAATAATGCTAATGTTGAACTCAACTGGTCTCACATGAAGCTGCAGATGTTAGCATGGAGACAGGAAGCTACTCCTGAGGAGCAGCAGGTGGACCTGTCTCCATCACTCACAGGAAACAGGAAGAACGTCTGATTGGCTGAAACTTGAAATTTAATAAAATCAGATGAAACTGTTTAATATGCTGAACTGGCTGTTTGAAAATAAATTAACTGGTTGATTATTGGAGCTCCACCAGTTCTGAACAGAGAGCTCAGATCCATTCGGCTCTGGTTCTGGGTGATCACAGTGATCCGAAGACACAGCAGTGAAACAGTAACGAGTGATGATTCTCCTGAGTTCATGATGGAGGAGCAGAAGGCGATGACACACACACAACCCCCCCCCCCCCCCCCCACACACACACACACACAGGAAGTTACTTTGGCTTTAAATAATAAAAATAAATAAATAATTAAGCATAGAAAGCCTTTAGAATAAAAGTCTGAACACAGAAATATGAGCTGGAAGGTGACTCAGGTCACTGCTCTATCCAGGAGCCTGTCCCTGAACCCAGAGACGTCCGAGATATAGGTCTGGGTCCGAGTCCATGTCTGAACCCGGTCTGTGTCCTCCCCAGACTGTAGCCATTCTCCCAGGGGTGAGTGATGTCTCCGCTGGCCCGACTGACAAACACTGAGGGAGAATGAGTGGACGCCATTTCAAACTTCAGCTCTACTCTAGAGGCGAGGGCCTTCCTCTTAGTCCTGGGGAGCGGGGAGGGCTGGGAGAACGCCAAGACGGGCCTGTGTGAAAATGTGGTGATATCTCCGGCAGGAGCAGAGGACAAGGAGCCCAGCTTGGCCAACGCCACTGGAATCTCTTCCAAAGACTCTGCTGAGTCCGAGTTGTATGCTGCAGGAGGGGCGGCAGCTTGAACGGGGCCTGAAGCAGCCAAAGGGGGGAGGGAGACCCTCATTGGGAATGCTGGGAAAGGAAGCCGCTGAGCCAGAGACACAGTAGACACACCACTTGATTCTGTGGGAGGAAAACAGGACAACAGACAGGAGAAGTTAGTGGACTTAAAACCTACATTTACACCACATGGTTATGACAGCACATGCAGGCTCATATATCCTCATGCATTCACTTAAATGTATTAATCAATGGTGCTGAACATTCTAGGTCTTTTAACCTGAAAAGGCCAAAGCCTATTAATTTCCTGTTAGTAATCAAGATTGACTGCAGATGGTAGTTTCCCTTTGCCGGCATAAAAGGATTTTGTTTGACAGCACTTGTTGGAAAAAAACAATACGAATCTGTCCCCCTCATATGAAACGAAATGAGTTGAGATCTTTAGAAACAAACCAGGAACCACCAAGACTCGCCATGACCTGGAAACTGCTGGAACACTAGTGTCCCTGTCCACAGTAAAACGAGTTTTACATCACCATGGACTGAGAGGACCAAGAAGGAAGCTCCTAAATCTTCAAGCTGCACTGAAACCTGCAGCTGTCCACATGTGAAAAACGTCTCCTGGGAAAAAAATAGTTTGATGATCAGAGGAGACAAAGATGATGCTCTGTGACCACAATGCCATGAAGGAAGTTTGAAGGTGTAAAATTGAGGAGACTGTAACAACAATCCAGCATGGTGGTGGTAGCATCATGCTTTGGCACTGATGAATTGCACAAAGTGGATACCTCCAAATGTTTCTACTGCACCTCAAAACAACAGATGAATGACTGAAAAGCCCCAAACACACAGCTGCTGCATGAAACCACAAGCCTGATCCCACAGCACCAAAAGCAAACAGCAAAAATCCAAGACAACCACATGAAAATCTCCAATACTCCATAGTGCTACTCCAGGGTAACAGAGTAAACCACGAGCCCCGCAACAGCCAGAGACGCACTGGGCAAAAGTAGAAAGCAGGGCTGCAAAACGCAGGGAGTTGTTTGTGAAGACCAGACCAGAATGACAAGAAAAATATGGGATTTTTTAAAGTGCTGGCCGATCACCAATCATCCGGTGTAGGTCATAAGTCAATTTCCAGACGTATCTCAAGACATGGACAATCACCAGAAGCCATTTGGGGGGGGTTGGTTGATGCTCAGCTGCAGTAGATAGATAGAGAGTGATGATTCACGGAAGAGTGCCAGGTGAGGAGGACCGAGTACAAGCTGTGGTACAGTTCTAATCACCCTTCTTGCCTATATCTGCAGTAATGTACCAAAGTCCTGAGAGAGGGAGACACCAGGAGGATCTGGAGCAAAGTACTGTGGGTCCTGATCTACAACATCTGGAGTTAATCCAGAAAAAAAACTGTTCATTCTATCAAGTTACTATGTGCTTGTGTGCAAGTGTGTGTTTGTGTGTGTGTGTGCGTATGTATGGAGAGAGAATGCTGCAACGTTACAATTGTCAATGTTCTGACTTAGAACAATTAGAACAATGATGAGGCTAGGCAGCTAATTTTTACTATGTAACATTTGTTTTAACCTCACCTCTAAAAAGAATCAGAATCAAAAAGAACTGGAATCGAAATGAGGAATTGGAATCATTGAATTCAAGCGGGGCAGCACGGTGGCGCAACTGGTAGAGCTGCTGCCTCTCAGCGAGCAGGTCCCTGGTTCAAACCCCGGTCCAGGGGCCTTCTGGGTGGAGTTTGCATGTTCTCTCCGTGCATGCGTGGGTTTTCTCCGGGTACTCCGGTTTCCTCCCACAGACCAAAAACATGCATGTTAGGCTGATTGGTAACTCTAAATTGTCCCTAGGTGTGAGTGAGAGAGTGAATGGTTGTTTGTCTTGTTTGTCTCTATGTGGCCCTGTGATGGACTTGCGACCTGTCCAGGGTGTACCCCGCCCCTCGCACAGTGATTGCTGGACATGGGCACCAGCGACCCCCGTGACCCAAAATGGAATAAGCGGGTAAAGAAAATGGATGGATGGATGAATTCAAGCGACGTCCAACCCTATCCAAGAGACCAAGTGGAAGGGCAGCAAGGCTCACAGCATTGCAGCAGGGTTTTAACTGTTTTAGCATGGTGTGGATAAAAAGAGCAATAGAGTAGGGGTGATCCTGAAGGAGGAATTGGTAAAGAATGTAGTAGAGGTGAAACGAGTGTGAGAAAGGGTTATGTTTCTGAAGGAAGAAGTAGAAGGTCTGATGCTAAATGTCAGTGGTTATGCTCCACAGGTTGGATGTAACTTAAAGGGAAGAAAATAAATATTGTAAGGATCTAAAAAAATTCAAGTCTGGTCCTCTGGACTATCAAAAAACAAAACAAAGCAAACCAAAAAAAAAGTAGAAACGTTTATTCTTTCATCCAAAAGCCTTCTTCAGTCTGAGGTGCTGTATTCAGTTGAGTCTTATAAACAGCACCTTCTCAGAGTGGATCAACCAGTTTGCTGCTGACAGCCAAAACCAGCTGCTCACATGATCAAGGAGGACCATCCGCCTAATGATGGATCGTTAGCACCCTGATGGCTGTTTGCTATTCACAGGGCGCTGAGTGATACTAGCAATAACATCATTGTAAGAGGGGGACAGTTGAACCCGGAGGCCTCCACCCCTGTTTAATGATGGACAATTTTTTTTTCACAAAGATGGCCTCCTTTACTCCTCTCTCAAACCATCGTTCCTCTCTGTCCAGGATGTGAACATCTTCATCCCTGAAAGAGTGACCGCTGGCCTGGAGATGAGTGTAGACCGCAGCGTCATGGCCTGATGATGTTGCTCTTCTGTGCTGGGCCTTCCTTTTGGCCAGTGGCTGTTTAGTCGCCGGTTCAAGCCCCGTTACCAACAACATAAAAAAAAAATGTGGGTGGGGTAGGTGAAGTACCCACACCTGCCCCCACCCTCATTTGCCCCACCCTGGGCCCATGAGCAAGGCCCTTAACCGCCATTTGCTCCCTAAACAGGTCTCTCTTGAAAATGAGTTCTCGTGGCTCAATGAGACTACCTGTATAAATAAAGGGTAAATTAAAAAAAAAAAAAAAAAAAAAGCATTTGAGTCTGGGTGCTCGAGGCACAAACAAAGCAGCCTGACCAGGTCCAAATTTGCTGCTGACTACTTCCTTGGAACTGGCCAAATCCAAAAAGAAGGAAATCAGTTATCATAAATTCAATTATACACTATATGTGTCTTTAACATCCACAAATGACAGCAGAGATAGACACATCATCAAGTCTTCCAAGTTGACAAGATATCCAGCTGTGTGTGTGCCAACAGGGCAAATCGGCTCACCTAATGCCTGTCTTCTCTTCGAAGAAATGTTATCAATTGCGTTGCAGGACCATCTGACCAAATCCATAGCAGAATTATGATTCAGACGATTTGTAGAAGAGAGGCTCTAAAGCAGTTTCACAGACAGGACAGAGCAAAGCAAAGTGGAGGTGGAGAGGAGAGGCATCTACCCTTGAGAAGAGCAAGTGTTGAAGTGAGTGAGATCGTCAGAGGTATAGTACATGTTGAACAACTGGGAGAAAAAATTAAAGAGACCAGACTGAGATGGTTTGGACATGTCCAGAGGAGGGACAGTGGTTTGGACATGTCCAGAGGAGGGACAATGGGTATTTTGACAGACGTATGTTAGAAATGCAGCTGCCAGGAAAAAGACAAAGAGGAGATATATGGATGCAGTTAGAGAGGACAGGAGAGGTAGTTGGTGTGGGGACAGAGGATGCAGAGGACAGAGTGAGATGGAGGAGGATGACTCGCTGTGGCGATCCCTCAAGAGGGAAAAGCCAAAAGTAGAAGCTCTGCGATGGTAGACAAGGTAGTTTTTCCACTCTTTATGGAATAATCTTCTCAGGGTTCAGACAAAATAAAATCACATCACGTCCTCAGGATTCATCCAGAAGACAGAAGAAACTAGATGATTACCTGGGGGCGGTGCTACAACCAAGCAGCGCTCTCTGGTGACCTCTGCTGGAACTCTGTGCATCTTTCTTTTCTTTTTTTTCTTCTTCTGTGGAAAAAAGCAAACTTTAATTAAATATTTAACGCAATTTAAAAGTAATACTTTACAATAAGTGCACATATTTAAATGGTTTGTTAATGCTTTATTTGTGACTTTGCAAATACTAAAAATTAATAAATATTTATAAAACATTATAAAAACCATAATTTTTAGGAGTTTTGAAATCGACTTCGTGCCTGACTCCACACGATGTATGCGTGTGAATTATAGCAGAACTGAACTGATGCGAAGAAGAGCGGATTTGCCACGAAATATAGCAGCGATAAGCAACAAACTCAAATCTACGTTTGGCAGAATGCAGATCTTAAAGTCATCTACCTGGAAGCTGCAGCAGAAGTGCACCAACAGGCAGAGGAAAAAGTGCTGCTCCCGGCTTAAGAAACAAGGGTGCCGGGTGGGGGTTCTGGTGAGGCTAAATACTAACAATAAAGCTGGCAAACTCCCGTGTATTGTTAACTATACTCGCATGTATTTTTTTAATGCTACTAGTGCTTAGTGTATATTTAGTTGATGTTTTTCTTAGTTCATATCTTAGATCTTATTACTGTTTTTCTTTTACATTTTATTGTGGGATGTAACTCTTGACCCTGTGTACATAATCTCGTTCCACCACATGTACCACATGTGGTGTGTATGACAAATAAATCTCTCTGACTCTGATAATTTGAGGCAAACTGTTTTTGGTAAATGCTGTATTCTAATTTTCTCAAGTAAATATAATTTTACTATAAAATTTTTTTTTGCAACTTTCACACTGTGTTTCGTCTATGACACAGTGGGAGATGTGATTTTTTTTATACCTCCCTTTCCCCCGTGTTTCTTTTTTTTAATCTAAGCGAAAAAGGCAGCACCTCTCAAATATGTTAGAAATGCAGCTGCCATGAAAAAGATAGAGGAGATATATGGATGCAGTTAGAGAGGACATGGAGGTAGCTGGAGTGAAGACAGAGGATGCAGAGGACAGAGAGATGGAGGAGGATGACTCGCTGTGAAGACCACTGAAGAAGGAATAGACGACAGAAGAAAAAGAAGAAGCTCAATTGTTTGTTTTTTCTAAATAACTATAAGTCAAAACAATCTTTTGCATTTGCAAATGTTCAGAATGCCTAAATACAGCAATTTACTGAAAATGTTTGATATTTAAAGTCCAATTGATAAATTATAAACAATAAATAACTAATACAGGTAAATAGCAAGAATAAAGAGTACAAATACATATTGGCACAATATATGGCAAGTAATGAGTCAATAGTGTGCTTTTTATCTAAAGCACTGTAACTGATTATTTGTTTATTAGGGGTTTACAAATTAAAAACTGCATTTTAACTACTGATGAAATTTACAAGGATGAAAACCTTTCAGGTACCACATTATTATTGCCCATCTAACCTCACATGACACATGATTTATTCAGGAATCTCCATAATTTCCAAAGAATGTTTCATGTTCCTCATTGACGCAGGTCCACAGAAACTTTTTTAACCACCTTTGGTGAGAATTACTTTCTAGTTTTGCTTTGAACTCAAAATTTTTAAACATTCAAATTTAGGGGTGTAGCAAGATTCCACAAGATTCCTTGGTGACGTCAATATTCTTGCAACGCGATATCAAATTGCAGTAAATATGACTTTATCTAGTGAAACAAACACTGAAAATGTTTCCACCACTTTAAATTGTTTGTGTGGCAGCAGGTCAGTCCGTCAGGCACTAGGACTAGCACAATCCCTTCGCTGAAGCTGTGTTGTGAGAGCAGCTTTCCCACCACTCTCCTGATCTCCCCAACAGATATATACCAAAAGAGACAAATATGATAAATTTCTGACCAGAACCTAGAAGCTGGAACTGGTCTAGTGTCTCTTGCGACTGGTTCCAGTACAGGTTTAAAGCCCAGCCTCGCTCAATGTATTCAAATGGGGCTTTGTCGTGGGTAAAGCTAAACATTTGCAAAGCAGCCTCACTCGTCTCCTTCAGTCGAGAGCTGCTATACACCTATTATAGAGGCAAAGAAGGATTTTAAAAGTATGTGTGTGGGGTGGGGGTTCTACAACAGGGATGTAAAATCTGCTTGAAATGATCACAGCCTAGATATTCAAGTATTATCTTAGACAGTTATATTTATAACTTCCCACATTTTGACAATTTTTTTGTATGTACCGGTATACCTACAGCAAATAATACTTTTAAAAGAAACAAAATGGAGAGTTGTGTATTTTTTCCCACCGAGACTAAACTGTCTAACATTTGGAAAGGTGGTTTAAGTGCTGAGGTGAGGTGAGAAAGGGCTGAGGTGGTGTGTCTGGACCAAAAAATGGACTCCTATGACATCAACATTACCAACTGAACACAAACCACAGTCCGTTTGCAGAGGAGCAGCTCTCATTCCCTCCTTTCTGACTGATACAAATGTTGTGATTGGCTGACTGGACTTTCAATCAAACGAATGTCCTAAGTCTGGGAGATCTGTAGAAGCCACTGTGAAGGAGGAGAGGTACACCTGGACACGAGTAAGAAATATTTAAAAGAGAAAATTACACTTTTTTCCCCCATCTTCTTCTATCGGCTGTTCCCTTCTTCAGGGGTCGCCACAGTGAACTAACTCGCACAAAGACTTGGCGATTGTTTTTACACCGGATGCCCTTCCTGATGCAACCACAGACCACCGAGCTACCTCTGTGTGGAGCAGGGAGCTGCTATCTAGGGCGCCTGGGGGCGCAGATGGTGGGGGTTGGGGACCTTGCTCGGGGGCCCAAGGTGGTGCAGGTGGGGGTGGAGGGGGGGTGGGTGCTTCAGCTTTCCCACCCATATTTTGATGTTGTCGGTCCTGGGAGTTGAACCAGCAACCTTCCGATCACAGGACCACCTTCTCTAACCTCTGCGCCACCACTCCCCTACTGTCTCTCTTTAAAATTTCAACAAGATTAAATTATTCTGAACCAGTGGTTCGGTGTTGGTCCCTTGAAAGAGATCAGAGCTGTTGTATCCACTTCCTCCATGTAGAGATTGACCACAATCGTTGACCCTGGCAATACCATGGCACAATATTTCTGTAAAAAGTGTCATTAAACTTGAAACAGGTGGTGAAAAGGCAGAGGTCCACCAGGGTACAGATCTGGTCTGTGGTGAAACTGGTCCTATTGTTTAGACCATTATGTTGTTGAAGTCATGTTCTGACAGTTTCTACTCTTTCTGTTGTGGGTATACAAGTGAAAAGGGAAGCAACATAATCCACCCACCCACCCACCCTCCCACCCATCCATCCATCCATCCATCCATCCATCCATCCATCCATCCATCCACCCACCCACCCATCCATCCATCC